CGCTGCGACGCCCCCAGCTGGCGTCGGAGGGTTGCGACATCGGGGGTGGAGCCACGTTAGAGGTCCCGGCGGCGGCGGGCGGACTCGCGGGCAGCACGAGCCGGCGGCGGCGCTTTATGAGGCGGAGGTGTGACACATGGAGCGGACGTGGACGGGGACAAGAGGTGCTCAAAGCGATGCACATGTCAGCTGGATTCGGCAGTTGTGTCAAGCAGCTGTGGGGTCATGAACAAGTTTGCTTTGTCCTCTTTTTGTCTACGGTGCGATCGAACTGTCTTGGATGGTCAAAGATAGTGGTCAGGTAATGGTCAGGTAATGGACAAAGGTAATGGTTAGGTAATAGTCAAAGGTAATGGTTTGATGGTCAAAGGTAATGGCAAATGCTCCTGACGTGTCTCCTTTGCCGCCCGTGATGAGCAAAAAAAATGTCAGGTGTGCCCCCCCCCCCCCCCCATCTTATGCATGCATTGCCTACCCTCCCTCTTCGCCCGGCTTCTTACCCGTTTGTTCAACTCTCAGTCACTTACCCATCGGAAATATTGCACCCTCTGTCCGTGTGCACACCGGTTAGGGGCATTTGGGTGCAGGCTTAGAATGGGCTGGTGCTCAATGAATTAAACCCTAAATCCACCAAAAACAATTGCATCCACTTACTATAAATCGGCATGCTCTTGCAATATGCGGAAGAATCATTCAGAAAAGGCACCTCTTTGTGGGTTTTTGATGCACTGTCTGACCGAATTTGTGATGCCCACCTCAGTACGTTTTTAAAAGTATGTTATAAACTTAGATCGTGATGAATCTCTGTTTGTTACAACGCATGCATTTAATAGTTTCGAATCGTCTATATCGTAATACTATCCTTGTTATCATCTAGATCATAATAACTTATGCAGCCGTCTTAATTTGTTTAATTTGCCTCTAACTCAATTTTCACCATTAGAAACATAGCCTGGCTTCGCGCCGGCAACTTATGCAATAACCCGACTAACCAAACTTGGCCAGAGGTCTTGGCTAGCACCAAGATTCCGCCAACATCTCGGTCAGACATCAACATTTTAGGCCCAATTATTTGGCACCGCCACGCTTACCCACACTGGCGCACGCCAATGTTGGCGGCGCCAATTTGAGTGAGTAGGGTATAATTCATATTTTGTTAACGTGAATTGAGAGCTTATTTAGCTTAGGACGTGAAAGGATAAGCGTGCATAGGCCAGAGCGACGACGCATCCGCCTGTATGGTACGGTCCCGTTATAGTGCTAAAGGGGAAGTTCCACGTTTGAAGATGTTGAAACGAGCATTAGATATGATGGAATAAGCCCACTTAAACTATTAGTATACTTCAAGTGGAAAAACTGTTCTAGACAGCACGATTTCTCTGTTAAGTGAAAATGCTGCTCAATACGTCATTGTTTGATCATGTCATCGTACCTTGCAACAACATTGGTTGAGAACCAGTTAACGGCCGTTATGTCCGGAAATCGTGCTTACGAACACCAGATATGAATGACTTGACAATTATATTTGTCTCGGGTTTGATTACCGCATGCGTAATCGAATGACAGGATTTAAATGACGTTATTAAGGCGTTATAGATGTCCGGATGACCTTGAAATAGTCTCCCCGGATAGTCTGCACATCTTTGCGGGCGTGTAGTTCAGAACCCAGTCCTTAACAATACCAGTTTGGTTCGGTTATCCGCTAATGTACCCGGCCCACGAAGACTTGATAATCTAAAGCATAAACCTAAAGAAAAGAGGAAACTGACCCTCAAATCGCGTTACGAACGCTCGGGCCGAATCCAGGATTTTGACCAAAGTGGAGGCTGGTTACCTTCCCGGGGTCCAGCAATGTGAAATCTTTGTCTAAATTCGTTGCATTTTCGGAAGTCATTGACAAGACCATAGGCGATAAAAAAATGCTTCACTATTTTTATCCATGTGCAGTACGTCGAATATGTCGTGCCCACAATGTATTTTTCGAAAGGTGAGCAATTTCGTAAGGCCCCGAGATGTTTTCGACCCGGCTGGACCCTCTAAGGTGTCGCGAAAGAACCACGACGTGTTTTCGCGGCGTGCAAAAATGTGTGCTATTTTTCAAATCGGCTGGGGGTGCCCAGTCGTAAGGTTGACTAAACTAACCTCAAAGCCTGATCACTCGCAGATTTCGGCTTCGATGTTTAGGATAACAAACAATGAAGAAACACGTTAATGTGGGCAGCCACCTTTTACTTAAACGTTGCCATACATTTCAGTGCATTTCTTGCCACCATCCGGATGTTAATGTACGAAAACCTACCAATACTGTGCAGGTGGGTATGTACAGGATATTATACGGTATAAAACCAACATGTAACAAATAGTCATATCTTCACGTAGGTACCAAATGTACCAGCATTTCAGAGCAATCGTCCGCATTTCATTGGCTCAGTATTCCCCCTCCCCCCCCCCCTAAAGCACATAAAGTGGCACACTTACGCAGACCCGGTGGCTGAGCCGCTCGGCACCACGTGACGCTGGGACGTTCCGCCGTTTGACCCACCGAGACCCAATGTCCCACGGCTGCGGCGGGCGGGCTCCACCGAGCGGAGCCACGGCAAACAGTCGTAATCGACAAGACAAACGGTGCGGCCCGATAGCCGCTGTTGCATGACGATACCGCACACCTGAAGAAGCAGATAGGGCTGGCCTGTTTGCAGGGCGTGTGGGCACAGGCGGCGGAAATCATGCATGTAAGCCCGGCTGGCATCAATGCTTGCCGACAGTTAAGCAGACCACAGCCGGATAATGGGGCTTGTTCTGAACACGACAGCTAAGCAGGACAAAGCCGGATAATGGGGCTTGTTCCGACCACGACAGCTAAGCAGACCACAGCCGGATAGTGGCACTTGCTCTGACCACGATAGCTAAGCAGACCATATCCGGATAATGGTACTTGTTCCGACCACGACAGTTAAACAGGCCACAGCCGGATAATGACACTTGTTCTGAACACGACAGCTAAACAGGCCACAGCCGGATAATGGCACTTGTTCTGAACACGACAGCTAAACAGGCCACAGCCGGACAACGGCGCTTGTTCCGACCACGATAGCTAAGCAGGATACAGCCGGATAATGATGCTTGCTCTGAACACGACAGCTAGGCAGGCCACAGCCGGATAACGGCGCTTGTTCCGACCACGATAGCTAAGCAGGATACAGCCGGATAATGACGCAAGTTCGGGCCAGACTCACAGGGAGCCAGACACAGAATAGGCATTTCCGCTCCAATCGTTTTCTTGTTAGAACTGGGAAGATAATGGAAGATATATGTCCATATAGGAAGATAATGTAAAAATGACTCGGGAAATGAGCGTTATTAATAGATGTTGATATTCCTGCAAATCTTGCATTTGATATATATGTCATGAAAGTCCGATTTAAATAAACCTGTCCGCCTGTTTGCCCTGTATGTCCTGTCCTCTTGTGATCCTGGACGGAATGTAAGTGGTCCTGAACGGAACACGCGCGGCATGAGGAGAACATCACTACAATGTGCAGTATATTGCTTGCGACGGTCGGAATGTCATAAAGATATACATTGACATGCAAACTGGATAGATGTGTGACCAATGTTCTTGAGGGCATAGTCAGTTTTGTTTGTCACTTCAAACATATTGATCCAAAGTGACGTCATTTGCCTTTTCAACGTCACATCCAGGGATTTTCTGTAATGCTTAATGCAAAGTTCCCAAGCGGGCTGTGTGTGATTTTCAGACAGAACTGAAGGAACAGGATAACAGCAATGCCTAAGTCCGCCGTCTCACCGCTGGAGAGGCCCGAGCTTCTCTGTAGTACCGCTTTCGGACCGTCGATATTGCAACTCTAGATCTCTCGTGGACTGGGCAGACAGTTCAGCCGACTAAGCTCTGTCGTACCAACACACTGCGGAGAAAGAAACTCGCACTTTCAGTGCCCTTTCAGTGTCCTCTCGATGCATTATCTACCATCGGCTGTCGTTTAACCACAGCTCTTTCAGTTTAAAGCAACTTGCCCATCGAAAATTGCTGCAAAAGGATTTTGCTCGCTACTTTTTTCCAAAATGTGACTTTAACCAGGCGTTTTGAGCCTGAACAGATGTAAAACAGGACAGACAATCATCTTTGTAATCAGCTAGTAACCACCATGCGGTACACTTACGAGTATCAGTGCTGTTCAGGATGCCACTTATGCGGCTGTCATTACCTGAAAGTACCATTATCTCAGCATACGGCCGATACTAATGCCAGATATTGCAGAAGTACTGCAGCGTTAAGAGCGACCTCATGGTCAAAATATGTCGCAAATGGATCAGGCGAAGGTGTCGTAACTTTCCACTTCTTTAGTTCGATGTTCCAGCATTTACATTCTCTAAAAACTCTTTTTGTCTCTTTTGAAACTAGATTAGATGTCGATTTATCGAGGTTGAAAATATACATTTAATGATTTACTTGCGCTCAGTTGAGTTTTGACTGGGTAGTCCGTTTCGAGCTTTCTCTGCACTGTTCTGTCGGCGAGCACGGTGGCGACTGTTGACCGACGCTGCGTGTCGGCGAGCACGGTGGCGACTGTTGACCGACGCTGCGAACACGGTGGCGACTGTTGATCGACGCTGCGTGACACCGAGACGAGCGGTGCGCAATATTGTGAGCTCTCGGGGTGATCCCTGACAAATCACATAGACTCTAGGATGACATCTAACCTCTTTCACAGTATCCTGATATGACTTCTGATGTTCCCCACAGACACCTTCGTTGTCTCTGACCCCCCCCCCCCCCCCCCCCACAAGCCTCTGCGTGAATCCTGATCTGCTCCACGAACTCCGAGGAGCCCATGACGGGACCTCTCCCGGGGACCTCTTATGACTCCTGACCTCTCTGGCAGACTCCTGAAATAACCCCTGACCTCTCTGGCAGACTCCTGAAGTGACCCCTGACCTCTCAGGCAGACTCCCGAGGTGACCCCTGACCTCTCTGGCAGGCTCCTGAGTGACGCCGACAAGCGGCCGTTCATCGAGGAGGCCGAGAAGCTTCGGCGTCAGCACAAGAAGGACCACCCCGACTACAAGTACCAGCCACGCCGTAGGAAGGCACTGAAGGGTCCCACCGGCGCCGCCAGCCAGCAGGGCAACACAGTCGTCTTCAACAGCAGGTCAGTCGGCGGCACTGCACCGCTGACGGCTGGACAGTGCATCGGTGCAGGAAATGGGAGGTTTGGGGTTCGACTCCCGATCGCGCCAGCCTGTTAAGGTGTGCGTCTGATTATTTGGCGCCCCTCCCCTCTCATGTACAAGAACTTGCTTGCAAGCACATAACTTACAAGTGCAAAATATTGCTGATGGTTGTGTAATGAGTCTTGGTGGTCAGGTGTAAGTGGTTGGGGCCTTGCTGATGTGTGCCATTTGGAGAGACCTATGAGAATACGGCAACTTCTTTTTTTTTTTTGGGGGGGGGGGGTACTGATAACGACATGTTGCAACTCCCCATGTTTGTGCCCTTGCAACTGATGATAGGCAATACAAAACTGCAGGTGCTACCTCATCGAAAGTATTGGGAAATGGTACTGCTATTGGAGCTTTAGTGTATAGTACTTGCGATATATCCAGTTGGAAATGGTGATCGCCGCCATGTGTATCGGTCATGCATGCGTTACATTATTACGGCTCAGCACCACAACTGTAAGGCATATTTGCGTGAAGTAATTTGGCTGTTTCTAATTTTTTCCTTTTGAAATCGCTCCTTTTACTGGTAAGCAAAGGTTTCAAACATGTAAGTAAGACTCTAAGCCTCCAAATGACAGGGTACGAATATTTGTGCACGCTCGTCGCTCCGTCGTGTTGTAGTGAGCTGTGTTGTGTTCCAGTCGCCAGCTCGGCGATGGTGCGGAAGCCGCTCGGCTGCTGTCATCGCAAGGTCAGGGGCAAGGTCACGGTCCCCCCACCCCGCCAACTACGCCACAGGGGGAGCTGATGAGGGACAACAAGCAGGCCATGGGTAGGTCAATGTTCAGCCTCCTCACGGGCTGTCACCAGCAGCAGCCGGTGCCTGCTTGCCCTATAGGTATCGTCATTTGCATCGTGGAATCTATTATTATTGCGATCCATCGCTGAATTATGTTCCCAAAACATGCCGGTTAGCTCCGACAAAGAAAATGAGTGTTTCGCTCACGAATCAAGTACTTGTTTGTGGGATGGCTTTCATCTGATTTTGCACTGAAGACGCGGAAATGAATAGGAGCAGAGCTATATACTTCAGTTTAGAAGACGCCCTCTGTTCAGAGTGCGCATAAAGTGATGAAAGGTACCGAATGCATTTGGCTTTTAGGCTTCACCGGCTTGAAAGCAAATGAAAAAGCTTCAGTGCTTTTACTCAAAGTGATAGAGGCGGATACATGGTCCAGGTCTTAATCACTTTATGTGGGCAGTGAGCATATGGCTAGTTTTGAGCTGTATCGGTTCGCTTTTGGTTGGCTTGTTACCTCCATAGCCTGCCTGTCGCTTACGTCAAACGCCGCACCAAGCGCCAGATTAATGGCAGCCAAGCGTCCGGCAGATGGCGTGGATGCGGCAGCCACCTTCAGAACCGTCCATCAATAACGGCAGCTCACTTGCGGGACTTCCATCAATAACGCATGCACGTTTGGCTATTTTGAGCCCCATTCCCCTGTTTATGCACTGGTTATTTTGAAGACAATCCCATTCCCACGGCGTTAAGAGTAATGTCCGGAAAAAAAGTTTAGAGGTGTTCCCTTGACCCCTGATTGAACTTGGATGCGACACAAACACGGGCGTGCTTGCTATGACTGAAAGCCAAATGGTACCTTCTAGCAGCACGATTTTAAAATAAAAAAGTTTTTTTTAAAGATTTCATGATTTGCAACCATATGCGAAGGCAGCGCTACTCTATCTCCCCCCCCCCCCCCCCCCCCATCTGCCACTACTTCCACTCAGGTTATGTCCCCTCGGAGCCCCCTGCCCCTTCCACGCGTGTCGCCAGCGCGTTTGACGCTGGTGGTGGTCTGTGTCGCCAGGTTTCTTGCAGGGCAGCGGCGGGCTGGGATGTTACCCGCAGCGGGCTGCCGGTCTGACCCGAAGTCAGTGCACGGCCGCCTCGGCGCCGGCCGCCTGCGCCGCCCTCGGTCGCTCCGTCATGGGTCAGCCCTCGCCGGAGGACACGGCCAAGGTCTCTTGGGCCAGGGACGAGGCATTCCGCGCGCACGCGGCCGCCGCCGGCGGTAAGTGGAGGCTCGCGGGCGCCGTTTGAACATAGGCTGAGACAATGGCAGCTTACTTAAAATAGCTCGCCGCTACACATTATGTGATTAATTTTTCTTGCAACTCATACAGAACGCCATTGACACAGTGTTCATGTAGCATGGGACGTAAACGTTCCGAAATGTTTGCATTACGAGGCAACATGCGCAGAGTTGCAGCCGGCTGTTCTGTACGCTGATAATTTTATAACTACGGGCATTGTCATGCAAGAAACATGCAGTTGTCGTGCTTTAAGTGTTGCTACCCCATTCATGACTCTGAACCACATAAATGTATGAAAATAATATTGACTGTGCCTGCATAAAAAGATAGCCTATTCCAATGTGAGGCACAGCTTACACCGCCCACTGCTTGCGGCGCCGGGCACTATAAGATCTGAAGCCAGTATGTGACAGCCGCGATACCTCGGCAGCCGGCAGCAGCGGCGGCAGCAGCAGCAGCGGCAGCAGCAGCGTCGCGGGCCAGCTGGCGCAGCTGCCGCAGCCGATGGCCTGCGATGGCTTCTATAACCAGGCGGCGTTCAAGCCGGAGGAGGAGCGCCTCTACAGAAGTCACGAGGAGCGAGTGTACCGTGGCCAGCCGTTCGGTGGTCAGCTGATTGCGCCGTCAGCTGGCTACACGGCCGAGAACATGGCGTACTACCAGAATTTATATCAGTACCCCAGCCAGAGGCCGTACGACGCCAACGACCCGTGGACATTTATGTAGTGACGGCATGCGAGTTTCTACGCAACCGAGAACACATTTTCGGTGTTCTGTCGGTGAACTGTGAAGTGGCACAACAAAGAACAGTTGTATTTTGTGCTTCGCTGGTGCTTGCTATGGCGCCTTTGCGCAAGCAACAAGCAGACAATGACAGCGCGGTGCGTTTTCGGAGTGATCATGTGTTTTATGGACTCGCTGGCGGGTGCGCGTGTTGAAGGCCGTAAAACACGTCACAAGGAGAGGTTGCGCGCAGTGGAGAAGTTTGGTGTGGACGGCCCAGATGGAAGTGATACGTTGGTGCCTTGAAGACGTGTGCTAACGCTGAGCGCCACGGCTTTGATGCCTCCATTTGTGCGCGAGCAAATGGTTTTTAAGGATTAAATTCGACTCCACATAAAGTTGCGACGGACTCCTGTTGGTGTTTGTTAACTAGAACCGATTCGAGCTGGCCAGAGTATTTAGGCATATTTTCGCCGCATTTGACCGTTAAGTTTGCCATCCAAGCATCGTGTATAATATTTATAAAAATATGCTTCCCTCCTTGGAGTTTCAGTCTGCACGCGGTCAAGGCTAACAAAATGAAGCGATAAAATAACCCCGTGGGATCGTTTTTTATCAGTGTATTCTTAGTTCAGCCGTTTTATCATTCCGACGATTCGTTCGCGGGCAACGTTTCTCGGATAAATTGCTTTTAGCAAGCGTAATATTTAATGTTTTGCCTCCTCGTTTCAAGTTTCGACTGCCTTAGCGCACCACGGCGCATCCAATGGCTGGCCTTCGACGTCAAGCTGGTTTGCTGTGCACGTGTGCTCTGCTATCGCCTGGACATCAACGACTCTGCGTAATGCGTTACATTATAATTTCACTCGCGTGTTGCCATCGCATTTAGCTTGTAAGCAGGTACTTCTTCTGTTGCCCCTGAAAGCGTTTCGTGTGTGTGCTGCATTCCCATCTGGAACAATTGCGACTCCAGGTAGCAAGGAACAGGAACTCAGACCGGCGCCCTACGTTTATGATTGCTAGCCGCTTGCTCCGGTTGTGTCAGCCGCGCTCTAAGTCTCGCTCCGCCGCTCAGCTGATCCGCGCCACGTGCCTGTATACAGTGTCGTCAAGCTGTGATGCTCAGTTCGTGTGGATGACGGCTGTTCGCACCTCCGCTTCTGTAGACGCTGACTGGGTCCGTCCGGTGGTGTTTCTGTCACCTGTCAGGTGTCTTCTCTCCCGCACAAATACACGTGAGCCCCGGCTAGGGCTGTGCAGCCGCCACTTACTGCAGGGCACAGCTTCGCCATGGGAGGTACCCGCAGGCGTAGGCGTAGAAACGGAGAGAAAGGCAAGTCCGGGTGGTGGTGGGGCGTATCCCCCAAGTTCTCGTAGATGTCAAGCATTAGGCTGTGGTGATACTTAAAATAGAATCGACTCAAGCATTTCCACCACATCACTTTCTGAGATGTTCCTTCAGTTATAAGCATGTAAAACTGAGTTGAGCAGGTAAACGCCACGACATCACATCGTGCTCCCAGAGTATCCTTAGTTTTGCTAGAAGATTTCTCATTACGGCACAGAACTTCTGCAATGTTAAGGTCTTCATGCGGCCCAAATGGAAAATGAAAACGACCAGGCGCTACCTCCGCTACGGGGCGTTTTAGTCCATATCGCCACTGTGGAGTACGGAGCACGAAAGGTGCAATATTTCAGCCATTCGTGATCAGTTGGTTATGAGAACCTGCATGCTAAAATCATAACGTATTGCTCGTTCTAGGAAAATAGCTCAGATTTTTTTGTTGTTGATCCCTTTAATATAACTAAACGTCGTACGCAAAGCTGTCCCAGACCTAAGTTCGCATAGTTTTTTAATGCAGAGATGAAGACAACCGGTGCAAACTAATCTTGTTCTCCTGCCCTGGCCAGCCTGACCCTGTGTAACCAGTGGAGTGTGTATAAGCTTTTTATCGCTCAATTTCTTTAAAGAATAGCGTGCCGGCTAATCGACTATAGACGGTCCCGAGCTGGGGACACGGGATATTTCGTTTAAAATCCACTATATTAGGTTTATTGCTGTACGAATAAAAACTTGCTACTCACTCGAAGCAAGAGTGAACGCTACCTGCGTGATAAGCTTAGGCGTATCGAACTTATATCAGCGAGAGCTACGTCGTTTTTGTACCGCAGGCGGCATTCTTTGGTGAGTGAATGTCATGTCTAGCAAACACACATACCAGCCATTCATCCAGTGAGCTGTCAGTATGGGTTACAGTTACGGTCAGTTGAGCACCAGTGGACGCCCCAGAGATAATTTAATCATTGATGTTTCACCACCGGGTCATCCAAGCAGCCAGCTCCATTTTTCGCAGTCAGATTATCATCAATCTTGGAGCGCTTTCTACTGATTTCTTCCTGCGAGCAACATCGTGGTCCCTCGACATTCACCGTCCATATGCCGCCACACAGACACACGCACCGTCGCCATCCATGCGCTGGCACCGTCACCGTCCATTCGCCGGCACACAGGCACACGCACCGTCACCGTCCATACGCCGGCACACAGACACACGCATAGTTACCATCCATGCGGCGGCACACAGACACACGCACCGTCACCATCCATGTGGCGGCACACAGATATACACGCACCGTCACCGTCCATACGCCGGCACACAAGCACACGCACCGTCACCGTCCATGCGCTGGCACACAGGCACACGCACCGTCACCGTCCATACGCCGGCACACAAGCACACGCACCGTCACCGTCCATGCGCTGGCACACAGGCACACGCACCGTCACCGTCCATGCGCCGGCACACAGGCACACGCACCGTCAGCGTCCATACGCCGGCACACAGACACACACACCGTCACCATCCGTGCGGCGGCACACAGATATACACGCACCGTCACCGTCCATACGCCGGCACACAGACACACACACCGTCACCGTCCATACGCCGGCACACAGGCACACGGAAGAAACTTTCGCTTCCAGCTCCCCGTTTAGCCAGGTTCAACCGCTCTTACTCACAGCAGTAGCCGCGACTGTGAGCTGCAGTTGCTGCTGTGCGTGCAATTTCTGTCATTCGTGCACACGGCAGGCCCTATCGAGCAGTAGGCTTCCTCCCGGCGCCGTCGGTCACTCCCGCTCGACTCGACTGGCCCGTTCGTCGGGCGAATCTTGCCGTCCTTTGCCCTCTAACCACCACCGAACCGAGGCCTCGCCGCCCAGCCCGGCTGGAGGCGGCAGCAAAGCCGGCGACACACGCAAGCCGACCTTCACGGCCCCCGTCCGCGCCCCTCACTCCCGTCACCGGGACGACGGCGCTCGGGGCGTAAACGATGACCTAATGAGGCCGATAGGGTGTCGACGGCGGCGCGTCGGTAGCCGGCGCCGGGCCGTACCTGTCACCGGTCTGGCTGCACTGTATCGGGTCGACATCGCTAACAAGACGACGATGGACCGCCTAAACAGCCGCGCGCTACGAAAACACGGGGCCGGCGGCGGCGACGGCGGCGCGGCGGCGGCGCGAGGCTGCGCGTCAGGTGCACGTCCAGCCGGTCACGCGGGATTGCTGTGGGGAGGGTGTCCGCCTGCCCTCGTGCGGTCCGGCCAACAGCTGAGTACGTTCGTCTCAGAGAGCGAAAGATAGGGAAACTTGTCAGGCGTTTCTCGTCTGATCTGACGTTTACGTATGTTGTAGTGAGTATGGCGCTCTTCTGACTCTCCTCTTCCATGCTGTCTCCAATGTCCCGGTGTCCTGTATTCACCACGGAGAGGCACGAGGTCCCTGCGTGCAGGGGCGTAGTTTCACAGCATGAGTCGGTGTGTGTGGGGGGGGGGGGGGAGGGACCAAGCAGTGAAAAATCCTCCAGAAATGCACCAGCAGGCAAGTTCTCCCTAGAATTTTAGCCAATTTCCTTCTCAAGCTCGACAGCCCAAGCGGGGGGGGGGGGGACAGAAGCACCATCTGAATGGGAAAGCTGGGGACAAAGGCACTTAAGCTTTGACGAACAATGGGTAGTCCAGATCACGTGATCTGTGACGATTCTGGGCGTCAGACGGCCGGCCGGACAAACGTTTTTTCGTACAATCTGTTTTTTTTCGAAATGATCCTCACAGGAATCGGGCTTACAGAAAAGCTCCCTGGTTTTATTTTCCCACCAGAAAAAAAGAGTTTCAATGAATCTTTTACATCTCACACCTCAGTTGAAGTCTCATCTCTAAATGCACTTTGATTTTGGCCCTAGTATTTAAAACACTGTCATCACTGTAGTGCCGCTAACGCGCTTTCGTCCTAAAATGGGCCTACGCAAAGGTCAAAACTTTGCATATTTATCGTACTGCGAAGCAAACTCCTGACAAGAGGAAGACATCCAAATGCATTAGGAGATCAGAGCGGCGTTTTATGGAACTATATGAAATCTGGGGTCGTACTGCAATCGTGGGATCCGATGCGCGCCCAACCATGTTCCCACATTCCTTTCCAAAGACACAACACAAAGTGGCACCTGCCTTGCCTGTTTTTTTAGAAGTGGCAGACGACTTTGAGCACGAGGAAACGTGTCTTAATTCGCCGCGGCCAGTACTCCTAGGAAATGTATATATGCATAATCAGGTATTGCATCACAAAGAAGTCAGAGGCATTAGCGACACCTTGATGCACTGGGAGGTCTGGTTACTGTCCTGGGGCTGCCTTTTGAGAGGGTATCCACCATCAATGCTGGCGGGACTACCGCGGCTATTGGCGAGGGGAGGTGTCCTCCCATTATCTAAATTGTTTGACGACATCGATGGCTTCATGTAGAAAGAACGGACCTGGAACGCCTTCAATATCCTTAAATTGTACGCCGTCGCCCCTGTCGTCAGCTGGTGGTGACGTCACGGAACCACAGCAGCCTTGCTGGATGGCCGTACTGCATGAGCACTTTTTATCATAGAGAGATAATTATTTCGGTGGCTTTTCCATACCCATATTTTTAACATCCGTCACCGAGCGTTAACAAGCGTA